ACAATTATCACAACTACTAACCATAATGATATTTATCAAATCTTTAAAAACTTTTAGCGGAAGTGTTTCCTAATAAGAATTTTCATGAATTAGAGCAAATCCTTTTGCCACCTAGATTTTATTGTGTATGTGTTCCCATCAATGTGAATCTATCATTTCCCTACAATCATAAGACAAGGTTTAGGGTAAAACCAAATTCAAATTTAGCTTCACTTCACGGACTGAACTTTTTCATTCTAAATTTCTTGCTATCCGGTAGCACAAGGGCTACCAGTGCTTCCATGTTGTTAAAATAAATCACTTCCATTTTCCAATGTACCATCACTGACCAACGTAATTTGCCTTTTATAGTCAAATGAGAACTATAGAACTCATAAGCATTGCCAACTCAACTGGAAAATGCACAGAAACAAGAATGTGTCAACTTAACATAATAGGTTATCAACCTTAGGTCGTGTGTTAGTGGTTACAAAAAGGTTTATTCTTGGTTGACTCTAGAAACTCTTCAAGTTTAATAAGGATCCCACAGACTTATTGACATATGAGTTTCTCTCTCAAGGAACATTCCTTGACAAGCAAAAACAAATATTCAAAAGTTAGTGTGGATTCAAGAAACACTTCATGAATTGGTCTTAGTTTATCCTTTGTTTTAACCAAAACAATACAACTTCCAATTCCAAATGTGCTAGAGTAAGAAAACATTATTACTCCACATTTCATGAGATTTTATAAAACTACTTAGTATGAATTAAGTTTCAAGATACGATTTGTAGTAATTAGAGTATGGCTTTAAAACTTGATTGGATACGAAGTATGACTCATCTCTTGAATGAAATATTTCAACAATATCTGATTCCCTGCTTAGTCAAACAATTGCACCAATATGTTCTTTGAGGATGAATTGTGATACTAGAATTATGCTTAATCTTATAAACATAACCATATTTACTAAAACATCAGTAAATCATGACGAATAGAGTTTTTAATTCTTTGTGGTAAATTTGAGTCATCCATATCAATGTATTAGATTCATTAGTCCTTCACTTTGACTCACATAAAACATGTGATCAATGAATTAGTCAATTATGAAATTCACCACAAGTGAAATAATAAGAATCAAATCCACAATTCATATTGCTAACAATAGAAATGTAACCTCAACCTTCATAGATGTCATTGCAAGGAAAATATAAAGTAAACCAACTAAATAAACCAAAATTTCACTTTTATTTATAATAAACGAAATTTTTGGAACTTGTCCTTACAATGCAAAAATGAAAATTATGTTTCTACACATTTCCTTAGCAATATATTGTAAATCCTAAGCAGTAGCTCGAAAATCTGATCATCGAACCATGCGATAGAAATCCATCTTTCAAGATCTGATTCAACTTACTCTTCTTAAGCTTCTTTCTTTCTCTTAGATCTTGCAAAACATCAAAATGTGATTATCACATCATCTATTAAGAACTACGAATATGAGCTCATTAAAATAATGGAGTTAGATAATGGATGTACCTGAAGTAGAGTCACACAATTTTACTTTACCAACTCTAAGATCTCTCAGGTAGTCAGGACAACTTCACAACCAATTTCCTTTCATTTGGCAATAGAAACATATAGACTCTTTAGCTTCATCACATGGAACTATCTCAGAACTAGCCTTTCTCTTTACCATACGATCAAAGGGTTTGACCTTGTCCAATCCCTTTCCATAGGGAAGAGAAACCTTTTCTGGATTACCATTATTGCCATTGTCAATGTCCATGGAAATTTAGGAGATAGATCCTTCAATCACTTTTTCTTGACTTGTGCTCTTAAGCATTTCTGCTTCAACAACAATCAACATATGTGTCAGATTAATTAGGGCCACATCGTGATCACTTATACATTAGTCTTCAGTGAACTGACTATATGATTCATTAAGCGACACTAAAACCAAGTCAATGGCTAGATCCTTTGGGAAAACGACACCCAACATATCCAATCTGTCAATGTGCAATTTCATTTTCATAACACGTGCACATACAAACTTTCCATCTTGATGTTTACGTGACAATAGGACTTAAGTAAATTCGTACTTTCCAACTTGAAGAAAGCATAACTTGGAGAGAGCCACTAGAGGAGGAGGAGGAAGAGTTGAAGAAGCATTATCTCGAGTTTCACCAATGCTCGAAGAAGGGAGCATTCTTTCACCTTGATAAACATGCGAAAGATCGTCTTCAGATAGAGGAAAAAACATTTCCAGAAGAACGAGGAAGGCCATTATTGTCTGAACTTGACATCTATAATAAGAGAAAAGAAAATTCAAGTAAGTTGACATTAATCCTTAATTATTAACCCATAAATTTAAATTAAGGCTAGGATCCATATTTTCAATTCGAACTTTGAAGAGGAATGTCGTAATCAAATTCGAATCTATTTTAGGTAGGTAAAGCATTTACCAATTTCAATCTCATGAAACTCCTAGATCTGTTGAGATTCATTGAACTATTCAATGGCATGTTTAATCTCAATTGTGCTCTCACTTTTGCGATTGGGGTGTCGATGATCACAAACGAGATGTGAATAATCATGCAATTAGCTTGGTACTCTTGATGTCATTTATCATCTCGTTTTAATGTGTCGGTTAACCACACGCGCTCCATTAATCAACAATAGTTATTGAGACACCCATTACCAACCTTTATTAGTCCCCCATTAGTGTGACAGTTAACCACACACGCTCCACTAACGACTTACAAAGTGTAACGTGCAATTTCATGGATTAGCATACAAATTCACATTTTCCTAAAGTAACTAATAGTGAGATTTAAAATAGTTTTGTTACTTTATATCATTATAATTTTAAGAGTAAATTACACGAATGGTCCCTATGGTTTAGGGTAATTTACGCATTTGGTCCCTAACTTATTTTTTTAACTTGGAATGTCCCTATTGTTTGTTTTCGTTATGCCATTGGCCCTTATCTTACCTAAAAAGACTATTTTTCTTGATTTTTTATTTTTTTTAAATAAACACACCCCAAACCCACCCATTCACCTTATCTTACCTACCTTACTATTTTTTTTTTCCTATTTAAATAATAGTCTGTTTAGGTAAGAAAGGGACCAAGCGCTAAACAAAAATAAATAGTAGGGATCAAGTGCGTAACAAAAACAAATATTAAAGACCTTCTGAGTCAAAAAAATAAGTTAGAAACCCAACACGCAATTACCCCAAACCATAGGGACCATTCGTGTAATTTACTCTAGTTTTAATGAGATTAATTTGTCCTATAGAATCCATTCGGCTAACGACCCTCCACCAAACAAGAGAGCGGTGGGTAAGAATGGGTACCCAATGTCGGTCATTTTATAGGCTGCTTCCTTAAACTCCCATTATGGTATGACTTTGTGAATGAGGCATACTAACGGTTCGACTGACTTTTCTTATACATATAATATATATTAAACCTTTAATAATATATATAGTATAAGATGAATTTTAGAACATTTTAAAATTGCAATGGTTTAATCTTTTAATAAATTAAAGTTAAACCATATTATAGATTTATTAATTATCCATTAATTAATTAATTAATTAAATAAATAATAAGATCCATATGGATGTATATTTAAACTTTTCAAAATACCAATTATTATTTGAAATTAATTATTTAATTCAATTAATATCTATATTTATTTATACTCTTAAAATAATCATATTAATCAACAAAAAACAATTAACTAAGTCAAATATTTATCTCCTAACTTCTAAGCTTTTAATTTATCATCATATATACACCATAATCAAATTTGGAGGATAAGTATAACAATTCATTATCATATAAAAGTAGATTAGGCAGATAAGTCACAAAATTTAGGATCTGATAGGTAAACACGTCGTGTTTAATGATCATCATGCCGTGTTCACTACTAGAAAAACAGCCTTTTATGACGCGCAATTTATGATACGCATTGATTTATAACATGCAAAAGTGGGTAACCTAAAAATAATGTCAGCTCTTTAAAAATTTTAAGGATTTCAGACGCGCATTTTTGCGTACCCTAAAATTAGTGTCAGAAAAAAAACACGGAGGGCGCTTATTATAAAATGTGCGTCATCTAGACATGTCGTTTTATATTTTTTAATAAAACACGGGTTGTTAGTTGCAAGCGGGAAAAGAAAACCCAAAAATTAGAAAAGCCCGCTTTCCCTTCCCTCTTTCCCTCTTTGCCCTAAGCATTTTTGACGCATCGTTCTTTATCCCCACAATCGACGATACATCTTTCCCCTCCCCACATCGACCGCCAACTACTCCCCTCGCACTCCGGCCACCGTTATGTGCTCTTTCATGGTCGTCGACCCTCCGCCATCGCCGACCCTCCGCCATCGTCAACGTCGAGACGAGCAGTGGTAGAGAAGATGTCGGAGAGTCCTCTGGTGCCGGGGTTCTCACTGGCAGCTCATCCGGAGATAATGAGAGCAGCGCGGTAAACCAAATTTCAGGGGCAAATTTGTCGATCCATTTTTAGGGTTTATTCCCACTCATCATTCCATCGCATCCTCTTTCAATTTCTTAGTGTAATCTCTCTCACAACTCAAAGATAACGATGCATGAACTGAAACGCCGACTTCTTCATCGTGGAAGTACTCCGTCTTCATTCTGCTATGGTACGTCAGTAATCCGTTGCCTTCCAAGCAAGATTTTGCATTCTCCATTCAAATTCGGTGCTAGGGTGAGCTCGATGGAGCTGCTTCTTCGTAATCCCACTGACACCCTCTTCATCTGTTAAGGTTCCTTCTCCACCGACCTTATCTGATTCTCCGTAATCCCTCCAACACTCCTCGACATCTACGAGGGTTAGTACTTCTCGACTCGGTCCTGGTCTTATTCTTTGCTAGTATGCTTCTTTTCTTCCCCTGTTTACTGTTAAGATATATTTGATTTGTGGTCAATGTTCTTATTGGTCAAAATTGTTTGTCTCAAAGAATTGATCAAAGTTTTGAAAAAGAAAATGATTCCAGTCAGCAAAAGAGATGATATAAAAGGTAAATTTCTTTTCTTTTTAGTGTTTTCTTTCATCAGATTCTCTAAACTCTAAAGATTCTTTTCTTCCTGTTCACAGCCATAGCTTCCATCTCTGCTGGAAATGATGAATTTATTGGAAACTTAATTGATGAAGCCATTGATAAAATCGGTCATGATGGAATAATTTCTATTGAATCATCTTCATCAAGTGAAACTTCTGTGATTGTTGAAGAAGGAATGAAGGTATCAAGTGAAATACATCTTGTGATATTTTATTCATACATTCTTTTTATCTTTTTCATTTTCATATTTTAATGTCTATTCAGGAATACTTTCCCTACAGATCGACAAAGGATACATGTCTCCTCATTTTGTCACAAATCAGAACAATTTGTCTGTGGAATTTGAAAATGCTAAAGTCCTGATAACAGATCAAAAGATATCATCTGTGAAAGAAATTGTCCCATTGCTAGAAAAGTGTACTCAATTAAGTGTCCCTTTGCTCATTTTTGCTGAAGATATCTCAATCTCAGTTCTTGAAACCCTAATTGTTAACAAAAATCAAGGTTTACTTAGGTTTGCTATTGTGAAATGTCCTGGTGTTGGGGAACGAAAGAAAGCTTTACTTCAAGATATTGCCCTCGTGACAGGTAATTCTGTAACAAAGGCTGTTTACAAGGGCTATATTGATAAGAATGTTTGGGTTGGTCTCAAATCTTTGCCTGTTGCTGTTAAGGTTCTCAACAAGGAGGGTCTTCAAGGCCATAGAGAATGGCTTGTAAGCTCCTCTAGTTCTCTGTCCTTCTAACAACTAGTTCTTTGTTTTGTTTTATCTTCCTTATACCATTCTAATCTATATCTGTAATGGCATTTTTTGTTGTAGACTGAAGTTAATTTCCTTGGTCAGCTCAGACATCCCAATTTGGTGAAATTGATTGGATATTGATGTGAAGATGACCACAGATTGCTTGTTTATGTGAGAGAAGGCGTTTTCAACAGTGGGGACACCGACTATATTGCCCCTGATCTGAAGTGTTGTTGAAGAAAGGACATGGGATGGATTGTGTACAGCCTGGTAATCTTGCAACCAACGTGAAAACCATCTTCACTTGCCTTCTAGACCAAGTTGTTGATCCATGGATTTATTGATTCTGATGTCCATTTGCTTTTTGGAGGACTCCAGGTTCTAAAATCCCTCACCTTCTTCATATGATATACATATAACATTTGTGTTTTGTTCTTTTCAGTTTAGGGCTAAATGCAAATCATAGCAACATACTTTAATTTATTTGTGCATTTCTTTCATCATTATAACATTATACTTTAAATATATTTATCTTACAAGCCATTAATTGTATTTTGAAAATTCTATTTTTTTCTCATCAAGACTTAAATTTTAATGTACTTCCAACTATGATATGCTTATATTACACCTCATCATCCTGTAAGAAAAAACTAAATACAAATTATATAAACTGTAATTAAACCCCACTTAATCACAATTAGTCTTTTCAATCTTGACAGGTATGGCTTTCAAGAATGGATGGCCACATGGGATTGGCTAACTCTTTAGCTTTAAAATTAGTTGGAGTTACAAGTAACATGCATGATCCAGTTGTGGAATTATTAGCAGGAATGCAAATGGAGGTATAAATATGGCCTCCAAGTTACAGATATGGAAATTTTATCTAATATGACTGTTCAATCCGACAAATATGGCCTCCAGGTATTTTTTTATTTTTTCATTTATCTTTAAAAATGTGGTTGTAAATATGTAAAATGACTTACTAGTTGAGCAATTTTTTTCATCGGCTTGCTATTAATGCTATTGGAGATAAGGCCAATGACTTGATCTTGGATATGTATAAATCAGTTGTCTCAACATTTGAGTCATGGAAGTGTAGCCAAGTTTGGTGAACAAGGGATTGTTGCTTCAGTGATATTATATCATAGCTTGTTCAACTCTACTACCTGTGAAAGATTAATACGGAGTAAAATCATTGTTCATATTCATAAAATTAGTTCCCTAGACCAATTTTACTACCTACAGAAACTTTCATCTGATAGAATTTTGTTGTTTACATGTTAACAGAGTAATTGTGTCCTTGAATTATGTATGATCATGAGCCTCTAAATAGAAAGTTCAAGCACTTTATATTCTTGTCAAGTGAGATTAGATCACTGAATTCTTAATTTACAATCTGGATACTATAGGCTGAGGCTGACAGGGAAGCAGGGGGAAACAAGGGTGTTTCTGACAAGCAAATTCGTTTAAAGATTTTCTCTCCTAATGTTCTTGACATAACTCTGGCATCAGAACAATGATAATGTCATGCATTAAGGCTCCCAACTGTTTAATTCTTGCTGTGACACCAACAAATTCATACCTTGCCAACTCAAATGCCCTGTAGATTGCTGGAAATGTTGATCCAGGTGGTATTTGACTCCATGCACGAGAGGCTGCGTACACATGCTGAATCTGTTGCTTCCTTTGGAGGTGGTGCTCGAGAAAAAGCGGTAACTCCTCTCCTCTTTCTTTTTTATATTTCCTTCCACAAAGGAGAATTTTTGAATATAATATTAATAATAATAATACTACTTGAATATGGTTTGTCTGACAGATGATTGAGTCAAGATTTAATGAGCTTCTTGCTCATGCTAAAATACTTCTGAGGAAGAAATGGTTATTTGGAGTACTGGATGACTTTGTCACCAAACAACTACCCCACAATGTTACTTGGGGATTGAGCTTGTTATATGCTATGGAGCACAAAGTTGATCGTTCATTGACTTCCACTCAAGGTCAATTCCCATTCTCAATTCCGATTCATCATGACATTTGTTTACCACAATTGGAAATAGTTTAGTAGTTGTGAATCGATTACCTGAACCTAATGAAATTTAGGCTTTTATTTTTTTGGTTTGGATGTGAGTGGATTTTTTTGTTAGCAGGTGAGCTTGCACAAGCATTGCGGTTTTTGGCATCAGTTGTATCTCAAAGCTTCTTGGCCTTTGGTGACATCTTGGAGCTGCATAGAAAGTTCATCGAACTGTCTGGTGGTGTTCATTGGATTTTTGAACTTGAGGAACTTCTTGATGCTGCACAATCTGGTTAGTGTTTTATCTAATCTTCTAGGCTGTTCCTTATTTACTAATAATCTGATGGAAATTGCAGATGAAAATGCCGGTACTTCATCAAAGTCCAATGAGGAATCTGAGGATGTTATCTCTTTTTCGGAGGTTGATATTATCACGCCAACACATAATTTATTAGCCAGAAAGTTGACTTGCGAGATAGTATCAGGGAAAAGCCTTCTTCTTACCGGTTAGTGTTATAGTCAGAGATAATGATTATAAATACTTGTGACGATTAAAAAAAATAAAAAAATAAAATGAAGATATAGTTACTGCTACTACGAGTAAATAAGAAATTATTTGGTACAAGAGAATGTAAGTTTCTATGCCATATCAATGTTAAGTTGAAATTAGAAAGTATAGTGTTCATTTCTTAGAACAAATATATAATTACTCATATATTACTTTATCAGAAAGGATGTTTATGATCTTCCTCAAGGTGTGCTAGGTAAATGCTATATTTAACATTAAGATATATTAGAAAATGAGAAATGAGTTAATTTATTTATTTTGATTTGTTGTTCATCAAGCTGGTTTGTATGCATCCTATTCTATGTCCAACACAACAAGGATGATGATGGTGCATTTATATCTTCTTAAACTGTTACCTACTAATTTTTCTCATCTTATTACATCATATTTCTTCATTTTTAACTCCTTAATTTATCAATCTAATCATTATTAACTTCATTCTTGTAAAACCAGGTGTCTATGCTATATAATGATTGGTTTTCCACTTTTCATGGTGGAAGTGGACAGAGGGTTTCTCTTTCACAGTTTGTGACATCTTGTATTCAAGAAATAGCAATGTACTTTCCATAAAAAAAATTATAAATTATATTCTTTGAAAAAATTGCTAGATTGGTAGGTTTAAAAGTATAATGTCCTAATACGAATTAATTTTAAAAGTAGAATGAAAATGACAAGTGATTTTGTGTTGTGTTTTTACAGGGTTGATGAAAGCGAATAGATTGAAGTTAGAAGAGGAAAAGAAAGCTCAAGCTGAAAGAGATAAGATGCTGCAAATGCAAGTGTTGCATTCTTCATTTCAATTGTTAGTATGAAACAAAGAGTAAATTAGATGAATGCAAATTTATATATTGTAAGAAATAGAATTGTATGACATTAAATTTTATGCAATGGATTGTATTTTTTGTATATGGTATCTTATTTCTATTATGAGACATTAAATGCAAGTTTAATTTAAAAATTAATAAATATATAAATATATTTTTTTTAAACATTTAAATTTACGATATGCAAAATTGTGTGTCATCTTCATTTATGACATGGCATTTCTTGATAGAGGTTTTAATGATACGCATTACGTGTCAGTAAACGCGCGTCGTAATTGCGCGTCGTCTCTCTTTATGACAGGGCCTTCCTTGATGCGCATTTGCGCGTCGTCTGAGCCTTTTACGACACGCAATGAGCGTCGTAAAAGACTGTTTTTCTAGTAGTGGTTGCAGGTCAACACGATGTCTTGGAAGAAGACCACGACGTGTTTGAAGAAAAGGATGGCGATTCTGTTTTCTCCTCCTTGTTCAAGTTCACCATTGTATCAATTCAATAAAAAAGTAAACCTACGCTCTAATATCACTGATTGGTTTTTAGCATAACAAACAATAATGTGTGTGCATGCAACCTAAATAATTTGATCTACGTTTTCTCTGATTGAACATACAACTTGAACAACAAAACAGAAAACCTTGGCATATTACTATATATTTCGAAATTCACATATAAGGTTAGAATAATCATACCTTGATCACTATATAGTAATAACAATTCAAATCCTTGTGTTGTTGAAGCCTTGAGAGCAAGCGTCACAAATGTCACGCATCTAATGGTTCATACCCAACACTAGCTATGGAAGAATGATTGAGAAACATGAGAGATGATGAAATTTTCGGCCAGGTCTTCCAAGGAAACAGTTGGTTGAAATATTTATAGTGTAGTTAGGAAACCCTAGATAAGTTCAAATCCAAGATTATCTTAAACTGGGTAATTATACATTTTCCTGTTTATCCACCAGGGATTATTCAAGAAACCCTTTGCTCAACTATTGAACAATTATAATCCAGTCCCTACACTTTTAATGAATTCTTTTAATCCCGAAATTAATTTCTGATTAAATACTAATTAAATATGATTTCTAATTAATGTACTATTTCCATAACACATTAATAAATCCTTTATTTCAATTTATTAATCAAATAATAAATTCAACATCTCTCTCCAAAATCATCTGTCCAGTTGCTAGTTTTGAGAGAAACCTAAAATGACTATGCTACTATCAATTTAAGTATATATCAACTATAGTTATGAGTTTAGACACCTAATCCAAAAATCCGGTGCAAGAGAAACCAAACAATAGTAAAAGAAAGTTATGCAAACGATAAAGAATAGTTGATGGACAACACAAGATGACATATTGTTGTGTAGCTCATGGCTTAACATAGGCAAAGACACAACAATTGGTACTCATCAACATAGATCAAACTTCTAGCATCGTGTAGACGAATATGATATGTATTGTAATAAAAGTACCGAGGAGGAAAGGAATAGTCACGTATTTCAGAATCGTTGGAGCAGAGTGAATCATGTTGTTTCTAAGTTTGTTCTTTATGAACAAATCCAGCATAGGCGTGGAAGTGGGTTAAACGAAGAAGACAAAAAATTAGGACTCTAGCATTATATATTTCATCATAGGGTTCCGAATTCACTTTTTTACACGCTTAGGTGACATTACGTGATGAAGAGAAATGGTGTACGGGTATACAAGAACAATAAAGAGATGCCAATGAAATGGAATCTATTGGGCAAAAGAGGACTAATAATAGTATATTCGGTGAATACACATCATTATCCTCAAATACAAACATATCAATTAATGAGTCAATATTAAAGTCTCGTCCAATGGGAAGAAAAGCTTCTAAAGGTAGGAAACAAACACCAATATCAAACACCTTTCTTGAAAGTATACAAGATACGTTGCAAACCCAAATTAATATTGAGATGGAACATAACAAAAGTGTACACAACTTTGAAAGACTATAATATGAAAAAGATGGACGCCAAAAGATTAAACTAGCGATGAAATTATTAGAAATTGATCCATCAATATTTTCAGAACAACAAAGAAAGTTGTATGAAATGCAACTCGATATGTTATTAAACAGAAAATAATGTTGGTTTTATGTATTCTATCGATTATATTTAAATAATTGTATTTCTTTTTAATTTAATATGTTTATAACCGTGTGTGTGTGTGTATATATATATATATATATATATATATATATATATATATATATATATATATATATATATAAAGGTAAGATATTAATCGCAGACACAATAGAATTTCCATAATGATTGAAGAGACATCAGACATTACTTGCGAATAAAATTTTTTGTTGTGCCCCAAAAATGGAGTCTGTTTAGAATTATTAACCGAAAGAATCAAATGATTCTGTTGATACATTCGATTGATTAAACGTTTCACAATTAGTAAGTTGGATTTATTGTGATAACCTGCATTTTCCAACAAAATCGATCTAGTTAAACCATGATCATGAGCAAGTACATAAATATAGTCCTGAAAGATAAGTGGATATAAGAAGTGGTGTTGTTGAGATCTATCTAGCCCTAAATAGCTTTGGAATTTCTCCATTTGAAATTCTATTTAAGTGAAAGGTAGAGGATTTTGGGGGTTATCAAATGATACATAGTGCGATACAGTCAAAACAAGGTATTATAGTACACTCTGAATAGATACATCGGATACAGATAAACTTATCAACAGATTCTCTATCCTTTCTTTTTCCATTTCAATTTCAATATTGATGTTCGTTTTCATTATAGGATAACAAGATTATTAGAAATCCTTTACTTTTTTTCAACCCAATCGCTCTTTTTATTTTGAATTTTTTTTGTCAATATATTGTTTCTTATACACACATCTCCATTATGGAATGCAGAATGATAATATTTAGGATTCATTAAAAAATCAAGAATGCATTCCTGGGAGAAAGCCTTCCCATATATATATATATATATATATATATATATATATATATATATATATATATATATATATATATATATTAATTAATTAAATAATAATTAAAACTAAAATTAAGTTGATATGCTAAACATATATCAACGATAATAATTCCACAAGCTTT